ACTTTTCAACGAACATTTCATTGACTTTTTACTATCGTTCGCGTTCTCCCAACAGAAGATTTGGCTGGCTTTGTTATAAAAACCAAACAGCAACTCAGTAGAGGTTTTTGGTTCAATGCTATCGTAAACCACTCTCCGCGCCAACTCAAGAGAGTGTCCGCCAAAAAGAGGGTTATTTGTTTTAATAATTGCTATTAAAACTTTGCGCTCAAGGAAGATGTCCGTTAGAAGAGGTTTCTCTGTATTTACATTTGAATTAAAATCGTAAATTTAAATCTCAGGCATTTTTAATAAATTTTCTTTTTAAAATATAAAGTCAAGTAAGACTTTTGTAACTTACTATATTCAATATATGTGTTCCTCAATAATATATATGTACACTGTGTGTCCCAAAAATAAACGAACTTTTTGAATATTAAAAAAATACACATTATATTAACTTTGAAAGTTATTATTTATTCAAAATAGGTTCCATTCGACTCAACACAATGTTTGGAACGATCAACCAGCGCATGCATAGATTTTTTTTTATTTTTTTTATGTCATTCATAGAAATGTTCTTCAGTACCACGGTTACGGTTGCTTAAATGGTTGGGATATCATCATAAAATGCTCCCTTAATCCTGGTTTTCAGTTTTGGAAATAAAAAATAGTCACATGGTGATGGATCAGGCGAATACGGAGGATGTTTGATGAGAGAAATTCCTTTTTTCATTAAAAATTCATTAAAAATTCGAGCGATTTTTTGGTCGTCATTTAATTCATTTGAAACAAATCGCGCACGACCTTTCTTTTCCCCAAATCTTCACTTGAAATTCTCCAAATAGTGTTTTTACTCGTATTCAATTCAATTCCTCAGCCAACACTCTCGTAGTAAAATTTTCATCGATACCAATGATTTCACGGACTTTTTCTACCAGTTCAGCACCATTACTAGTTTCTGGACGTCCTGCTCTAGGGTCGTCATTTAAATCCTTACGACCATTTTTAAATCGTGTAAACTACGTATAAACTTGCGTACGACTGATACAATCATCACAATAAACTTTTTTCATTAATTTTTTTTTCAAGTTTGACAAAAAATTTTATATTTGCTCTTTGTTACATTTTATTTTTGAACCATTAGCACACTTTTGGATTTATTGAAATGTCTGTCACTTTTACAGCTGTCATGCGACTTACATGATGTTGGATGCGTTTGAAAGAGTATGAATGTATCTTTTTAATATTTCCGATAGATGGCGCTGTATGTTGTATGATTTAAATATAAAGTTCGGTTATTTTTGGGACACACCGTGCATGTATACGAGTATATATATTTTTTCGATAAATAACAAAGTGTGGCTTAAATTTGTGTTATATCTCCTTTTCAAAACACGAAACATAATGATAGATTTTTTGCCGAGTTTTGTCTCCAATTCGTTGTGTGAGTCTTGCTGCTTTTCTTACGCCATCAGCTTATACCAAGGCGCCTTCGGACGGGCGAGAGCTTTGTTTGAGGTTTGTTTGACGGGCTTTTATTTCATGTCAGAACTCGCTGGGCTTGATATTCCCAACCGAAGGGCAACTGCAATTAGAAAAATTATTTTTCTTTGATTCTAGATGTTGGTAGCAACGAGACTCGAACATTGACATTTGCTAATTTTAGTACGAATTGCCAACCAATCGCCTATTGCGGCTACCAGTGTAAAAAGGATTGAATTTCGTTTTATGCTGTCACGATCTTTTTAGGGCAGAATTAATTGTAGAATTCACTTCTTGTATAAAAATATTATATTGGATGAGAGCATAAGTTCGTGCCCGATTTCAAGTGCAAATTAAAATTGAAATTTTTTGAAGAAAGCGCTTTTATTAATCAATTATGTATTCGCCATCATGTTCGGCAATCCACTCACAACGTTCAACCAATTTGCGGATGCCTGATTCATAGAAATCGCGCGGTTTCTCGTTGAAAAAGGTGTCAAGGTTTTCCATTCAAATTGTTCTGCAGCGATCGAAACAAATGATAATCAGAAGGTGCAATGTCGGGTGAATATGGTAGATGCGGCATGATTTCCCAATTCATCTACTTCAGTTTGGCCAGGGTCGGTTTTGCAACAAGTGGCCTGGCGTTGTCATGATGGAAAAGAACTCCTTTGCGATTGGCCAAAATCGGACGTTTTTAATCAATTGCTTTCTTCAATTCGACCAATTGCTGACAATACATTTATTTTACCCATTATTATAATAGACATAAAGTAGTACATATTCATACATACACAAGTTGCAACTTTATTCTGTTCTAAAAAAAATCATCAGAGAGAACTACTTGTGATTAGAAAAAGAACATTATTTTCTACCTCCAACTTTCTCAACTCAACTTGCTGATATTTAAACCTGCAGATATTTGATTTTGGTCAAACAAACATATGCACATATATATGTAGCGTGATGTTCGTCTGAGTTTATAAGTAGCTGCTGAAATACCTGTTGGACTTATTCGTGAGGAAGGTGCTGCCCAGTTAAGGTGTTTGTTATTCATTGTTAAACTGAGTTAAAAACACATTGAAGTGGCTGAAAAAAAAGGAGAAAGTGAAAAACAGTTTACAGCAGAAAAATAGAGAGTGATCAAGTGAGTGTAAAATCAAAACAAATTAGAAAACAAATAAGTAAACAAGCAGAATGTGGTGTTTTCAATTGGTAACCGGTAAAATAACCTTCGTTTTTGGTGATTTTTTTTTTTTTTATTCAAATGTGGAAATTGTAAAATTAATTTATTACATTTAAATGTACAAATGTGTGTTTTCATTAGCAAAAAAAGAAATTTTAATCTACTAAATATTTTAACGGCGCAATTTTTCGACTTTTCGTTCGCCGCTCAAATATTTAATAAATTGTAAATTGTAAAATAACCGGTTTTGAAAAAAAAAATTATATTAACAAATTTAATTTTTTTTTTGTAAAATTTAAATAACTTTACTTTCCAAAAAACATTGAGATAAGTAATACTAATAATATAATTCATTGTAAGTAAATAAAGAGATAATTTCAAGTAAACAAACTTGTATTCGAAATGCTAAATATACGTACACGTACAAACACGACTGTGTATATACATATACCCGTATCTATACATAGATGTTTGTTATGATTTCATCAAGTTTCATTTATGAGTGTATACAATTTTCTATTCAATGATTTGGCATTGAATTCAGTTCGACTTTGCTATTTGCTTTCGTTGAAAATTGTATTCCTTTACAGTGTGGTAAATACTTGATGTCAGTAAACAAAACTTTTGCGCATTTTATGTCACAGATTTACAGGCTTATTCTCACTGTTACCGGTAAAGTAAATTTTGTTACTTTTCTTTAACACCTGAAATTGAATTTGGTATTCTGGCGAACTGGTTACAATGTTTGGAAAAAATTTGGCAGCCCTGCTTTTTTTCGTCCATATCAAATTACATTTCCCAGTTGATAAAGTAAAAAAGAAAAATATTCACTTTGAAATGGAAGACGGTGCACAAAAAAATTAAAAAGTTTTATTAATTTGTTTATTAAATCATAAATATTTAAACCTAATTATGGAAAATATGCCTGGACAACAAAAAAAGCTGAATGAAAACGTTATCTTACAAATTAAAGCGCTATTTTTTAGACTCGAAAACTTCTTAAAATACGCTTTTTGCACTTTTTTCTTCATCATCAATGAATTCCAGGTCCAAAATATGCCTACCCATTTTTGGTTTTTTATTTTTTCTCAAACTTACAACACAAAATCAAACAGCAGATATTTTTTTTTTACCTCCCATTTCGCTGGTAACAAAATTTACAGTGTAACAGTGAGCTCAGAATACGAAATGGTAACAAAATTTACTGAATGGTAAATTTAAATACCTAAGTAAATTTTGTTACCTCGACAGAATAGGCCTGTTCATGTCAGTAAACAAAACTTTTGCGCATTTTATGTCACAGATTCAAACGAAAGACGCTTATGAGTTTGCGACAGTGCACATTTTCTGGGCAGATGAACATCTCATTTGTTTGACTAAGACCTGGATATGCTCGATAGCAAAGTAACTTGGGCGTGGGTGCAACACGGTATGCCAAATGAATGCATCATTTCTATCATATCTATCGTGGATATACTCGCAGTCAGGTTGCAAATTGAGCCTGCCCCGCACTTCAAGATATGTATGGAGTACGGCCATGTGGAATCAACTTAGCACTTCCACATTGACTGCAAGAAGCGAAATTTGTGTTCAACCACTTTGGTTTTTGGCATTTCTTTAACAATCTATATTGGTTGTTGGTTATTGAAGGTTGCTCTTTTGTTCATACCGGTGTGCTATGTGCACTGAGGATGTTAGGTTTACTCAGCTAAAGAGTGTATTTAAGGGCATACAATAATCGAACTCATACAAATAACATATAAAACGGAATGACGATACGAATCGATTCAACCATTTGTCTCTCTATCTATCTGTTTGTGTGCAGTATAACTCAAGTAAATTTGAGATATTTTAATGAAACTTGATTCACACATTCCTTGGGTGCCAAATATGGACGCTATTGAACATTCAAAAGAAGTCAACCAAATTTAAGGTAAGCTACTTTGAAAGCGGACTATATTTCGGTTCCACGCGAACTCAGAAAAACTTACGTGATTAAAAAATATTTACTAAGAATTGAAATAAATTAGTACTTTCTTTATGGCAGTTTAGTCGTCAAAACGAAATTGGAAAATGTTGCATCAATCGGAGCGCGTCATAAAATTGTCTATGAGAGGTTGATTTCATTTTTTTTGGATTATTGTACACTAACATAACTCACATTATGAGAATACTAATTTCACCAGCTTGATCACACTGTGTAAGCGTTCGTTTAGCCGTTTAGCGAATTTTCTCCCAACAGCTTACACACGTCATCTGACGCTGCGCATAAGCCTGAGTGGGAGATTAGCGGTGGTGAGATTGATTCTGGTACGTCATATTCAGATGATCTTCTCTGCCAGTTTTATTCTCATAACAATTTTGCGCTTCAGTCAACTTGCAATATTCTCCGCTTGCGAAACAATCATCTTGGTGTTTACAAAGAAGCCCGCCGGTCTTCTGTTTTAGTTAAAAACAGTTTGTTTTTAGTGTTTTCGTGTGTGATCGGTAATTTCGGCTTTGAACTTGAGTTAAAAGAATAGCGATAATTATCAAGCGTAAAGTGCGTTATACGAATACGTATACCCTTGGTATAAATCCATTCTAAGTATTTGTACTGATGTTGGCGTAAGTAAGCTTTTTAATCGATTCTTTTAATGTCTTAAATACAAATAAAAAATTCGAAAAGCTATAATTGTTAATGGGTTTTATATTAGTAAAAAAGTACTACTACTATTACATATTTGTGGGAGATTATCATGTATTTTTCAGTTGAAAAATACATTTAAATATCAATTTCACGGAATTAATAAAACATTCCAGTGCACAAATAGCATATTACTACAGTATAATATGTAATAAGAATAAAAAAAAAAACAAAAATGAAATGAATGAAAAATAAACCAAAAAAAAAATAAGCAAAAAAAAAAAATAAAAATAAAAATAAAAATAAAAATAAAAAAATAAATAAGTTAAAGGAAATAAAATATGAGAAAAATTTAGTAACTTAAATGAAAATAAACAAAAATAAATTAAAATGAAATAAAAAAATTTCAAATAAAATAAAAAAGAAATAAAAAGGAAAATGAGCTAAAAATGAATAAAATAAAATAATTCAAATTCAAATAAAATAAAACTTAACACTGAAATGTGGTAATAAATAATATAAAATTAAATTGAATTAAATGAAGAAAATAAAATAAAGTAAAATGAATCAAATGAAAAAATTAAGTTAAATTAAATTAATATAGGTTAAGTTCAATAAGGGAAACGAAATTTCTTTGATAAGAGTAAAATATATTAAGAAAATGAAATGCTGAAAAGCAAATATTATTATTTATATATTTTACTATATTATATTAAACGAAATAAATTTAAGCGGTATAAAAAAAATAACGCAAGGTAAAATAAAATATAAAAATTTGATATATTTATAAATAATAAATTAAATAAAGCAAAATCGTAATAATATCAGGTGTACAACTTTGCTTCCGCCGTTTTTTTTTTCCAAAATTAAAAGCTCTATTGCGAAAAATTGCTTACAGATATATCATTCATAGTATTGTCCTTCGCTAGCGACAACTTTCTCCCATCTTTCCGGCAATTTTTGGATCCCGGCTCGAAGAAAGGAGTTCTCTTTTGACGCTATCCATGAAGCAATCCATTTTTCCAATTCTTTGAAGGTATGAAAATGTTGAACTGCCAGGCCGTGTGCCATCGAACGGAATAGGTGGAAGTCAGAAGAGGCGACATCTGGTGAATAAGGCGGGTGGGGCAAGACTTGCCATTTCAGCGTTTCCAGGTACTTTTGGACCACTTTTGCGACGTGAGGCCGAGCATTGTCGTGTTGGAGGATGACTTTGTCATGTCGCTCTTGATATTTATTTATTTAGCGCGCGACTAAGGCGCATCAGTTGCGTTCGGTAGCGATCTCCTGTGATGGTTTCACCTGGTTTTGAGAGCTCGTAGTAAATCACACCGAGCTGATCCCACCAAATACAAATCATAACCTTGTTTGCCTTCGACATCGAAATCATCATTTTTAAAACGTTGAAACCACTCCCGACACGTTCTTTCACTCAGAGCAGCATCACCNATTATTATTATTATTATTATTATTATTATTATTATTATTATTATTATTATTATTATTATTATTATTATTATTATTATTATTATTATTATTATTATTATTATTATTATTATTATTATTATTATTATTATTATTATTATTATTATTATTATTATTATTATTATTATTATTATTATTATTATTATTATTATTATTATTATTATTATTATTATTATTATTATTATTATTATTATTATTATTATTATTATTATTATTATTATTATTATTATTATTATTATTATTATTATTATTATTATTATTATTATTATTATTATTATTATTATTATTATTATTATTATTATTATTATTATTATTATTATTATTATTATTATTATTATTATTATTATTATTATTATTATTATTATTATTATTATTATTATAATTATTATTATTATTATAATTATTATTATTATTATTATTATTATTACTATTACTATTACTATTACTATTACTATTACTATTACTATTACTATTACTATTACTATTACTATTACTATTACTATTACTATTACTATTACTATGACGCAGTCATCCTATCTTCAAAAACATTATAACCGCCTCTCACGGGTAATAGAGATCACATATAGAGGAATGCTTCATTGCCTTGTATGTTATCCCTTTGATAATTGGCTTGCTCCTGTTCACGAATTTGTTTTATCTTGGTCCAATGTTCGGTTTGCCTGTATTTTTCCTAAAGATTGTGCGCGGTTGCTGAGTGATTAGCATTGTGTATTGATATTGGGAAGACTCGGATTCAAATCCTAGTATCGTACTAACATCCAAAAAAAGTTATAGAAAATTAATTTAAATAAAAATCAAGGGAAACTTCCTAATCGCGTTCGCCGTTCACCAGGGAAAGTTAGCCCCTCCGAGTGTATTTCTGACATGAAATAAAGCTCCTCATAGCAAACCGTCAGCCGTTCGGAGGTGGCATAGGATAAGTTGCAGGTCCCTTTCTGTGTAGGAAAAACGTCAAGACACAAAACCTCGAATATATATATATATATATATATAAAGCTTATTCTAACCTTTCTTTCTTACGACTATATGGTCGTGATTTCAGAGACCCCTACATTCATAAATTTCCATAAAATTCCAAATCTGGAGTGTTCTAGCTTAATTTGGTATTCAATTTATTCTACACATTCCTCTAGACATGAAATTTTCCTACGTTTCCTGCCTGCCTACCTTCCTAAAGTTCTCGAAGTATGCTTATAAATTTCAAAGTCCAGATGTATTTGTGCAAATCCGCTATATTTATAGAAATTTGCGCTCTCATTATGCATATATCCTATTGTTGAAACACTCTCTTATTCTAATAGAATCTCAGAAAGTCTTGATACTGATTTGGCATTCCCAAAATTTTCGGTTGGATCTATTATTGGCACACAACGAAACCTTTCTGATCGTAAATATACGGTTAGCTACGACCGTTTTCATTTGACGTTAGCCATAAAAGATCCACCAGTTACCATCGGCTTCGGAAATAGGTCGATTTTTGGTGGATAGAGCAGTGACTCGTAAAACGAAAAATGTTACATCGAGCTTCTTTGTGCCTCTTTCAAGTGGTTTCAAATCTTTTTTGTGAAATGCTTAGCACATTATTTCAGCGATATTCTCGGCAATTGAACTCGAAGAAACCAAATTTCTACATGATTGACTCTTAGAGTATCAGGTCTTTGAGCACTATTCACATTTTCAATTGTAGCATACAGAATATTTTCTTTTTGCTGATGTCTATTTTTGAGTTAAGTGGGGGAAGCCCATAATATTTTTTAGGTCAAAGCAACATGTTTCTAAGGCCACCTAACGTCATCCAATCTCACTTTCAGAACGTGAGATAAAAGCCATGAATTTTAAAAATAATTGATTACTTTTAACATCCTGAGTAGTGTAGCGTCACTTTTAAGCTCTTTGGAATAACCATTTTTTTTTAGCGATTTTCACCAACGGATTATTCAGCAATGTTCAAATATTGGCCACAAATTCAATTTAGTTTTGTTGTGAATCGATTAAGTTAATCTTTTTACACTTTATATCGTAACTAGCGACCCGCTCCGGCTTCGCACGGGTGCAATGCTGATACTACAATAAATACACTACAGAAAAACTGTGAACGTTGTATATAAAAACATAGCGGCGTATAAAATATATAACTTATGTGATTAAAATCGATCCAGCAGTTTTGTTTTATTCATTACTGCCCGTGGCCCGCGTTGAATTTGAAGTAAAACAATCCCCCTTTCCCTATACCATGAAAATTTCCTGCTTTGGAATATTTGAATCCATACACTACATTATTACTTATTTACTTTCTACATTTTTAACTATTTATTTTATTTTTACAACATATTACAGAATGTCTTTATAAACAACGTTCACAGCTTTCTTGTCATTAGACAATACAAACATGTTTTTTCTTTTTTTTTTTTTGTCTTTACCGGAAACTGTAAACGTTTAAATTGGAAGGGTAAATCCGATGGTATTAGAGGGATTCGGGGAATCAACACATTTTTTCCGGTACCACATCCTGTGAGTATTGTGCACTCTAATATGAAAGTTTTCAATGATTTTACCAGCAAACGCGTGCCATTGCAAAGTTTAGGTGGATTCAGGTTTCTTAATAAAATAACAGGACAACCTACTTTCAACACCATTTTGTGAGGAGGAAGTCCAGACGGGTTCAAAGAGTTTAGAAATTCTGTAGAAAAATGAAGAGCTTCTTCGAAATCAAGAACAGTTTCGACCGAGTGGTATATTTTCGTCGGCGCATCCATCTTTAAAATAATCAAGTTATTTACTTATTCTATGACACTTGTTCGTTAGTTGGTGACAGAATCGCTCTTTCTTTACACCAAGATATTGTCTTATAATTTATGTTATCAATATCAGGATAGACATTGTTGACTAACTCTTGGATGTTGTCTATCAAAACGCAAAGGTTTTTTAGGTCAATCCTTCCCCCACTTTGTGTTAACTCTCCATTGTCAACTTTTAGCAGCATCTCTGGAAATAGCCTATTCTCACGTGAAGATGACGAAACCCTCATATCAGTTTTAAGCTCTAATTTATTGACACGTGACGGACTTTTCTGTAGACCTTTTCAATGTGTACAATACTTAGTACATTATTTTGATGAAACTCGTAGGGTTCAGCCTGCGTTTGCAATGTAAGCGGAAAAAATGTAATTATTTACGACATCACATTAGAAACCTCAAAAAAAGAACATAACTTCTCCACTATTTAATGGATGTTATACACATAAACCTTCCTCTTGAATCACTCTATCTATTAAAAAAAAAAAAACCGCATCAAAATCCGTTGCGTAGTTTCAAAGATTTAAGCATACAAAGGGACATAGGGACAGAGAAAGCGACTTTGTTTTATACTATGTACTGATTAAAAAATAGAATGTGTGAAAAATTTAAATTTTTATTCACTGCACTGCACATTAACAGTCTGAAGTCATCAAGCTATACACATATATGACGAAAGAAAAGTTTAATGTGAATAAATATTAATACAGGGTCCGCCACGTAACTTTTTTTTTTTTTTAAATGCAATAAAACAAACGCCCATTCGGCAAAGGCAAACCGCATCGGATGGTCTCGTGGCTTCAATTCTTGAACCAATTGAACTTTGTACGGTGTCATACCAAGGTCTTTTTTCAAAATTCACCTAAGAGACGTCTCGGAAATGTCCAATTGCTGAAAGCGACGCTTCACTGATGTTCCGGTCGCCTCACGCACACTCTCGGTCACAGCAGCGATATTACCGGCAGTACGCACTTTTTTTGGTTTCCCACGCGTTGGTTTATCAATAATTGTGCCGGTTTCTCTCAATTTTTCTTTCAAAAGAAAGCGCACATACGGAGCGGACGGTGCTTTGTTACGGCTCATTTCCGTGCGTAATTTTCGCACACATTTTCAAAGTAAAACTGCACTATTTTAACGCGTTCCTCAATCGTATACACAACCATTTTCGTTCAGCGGAAGGATAAAACTAATTTTCTGTCAAATCAGATGTAACATCAGTGTTACCACACTCAAAATAACCACGAGTTCAAAAAAAAAATAAATGTTAGATGGCGTACCCTGTATATGACGAAAGAAAAATTTAATGTGACTAAATATTAATATTGTTCATTACACGGATTTACCCGAAGTTAATCATTCCTCATCTTACTTAATAAATAGCACAATAGGTGGCAAGCATCACGATTCGTTAATTAGAGAGATTTATGATGATTAATATGTATGGCTGCACTGGAAGAGCTAGCATTTGTTATAAATTCTATTATCTGGATAGTAATTGATGCGTGACAAATTGGGAAGAAAATATTGCATATACGAATATTAAGTGAATTTTCAAATATCGTGGGCTACTTGCTAAATCAATTTGGATCGACGTGCAAATTCATACCCTCAAATCAGAATATGTTGATTTAACCATTTCCGCCAAACCAGGTGAACAATTAATCGTTTGGACTGTATTGATCATTCACCCAACCGATGTTTCACATATGAGTATTTGTATTCAAACTTAAAAATAAATTCTTAAATCATAAAAATAAAAGAAATACAGTTCTTTCGAGCATAAGCTCACAGTTTTACCCGCAGCTTGTTAAATTTTTTTCTAACAGGCATATTCTCACTGTTACCGGTAAAGTAAATTTTGTTACTTTTCTTTAGCACCCGAAATTGAATTTGGTATTCTGGCGAATTGGTCACAATGTTTGAAGAAAAACTTGGCAGCACTGCTTTTTTCGTCTATGTCAAATTACATTTGCCAGTTGATAAAGTAAAAAGAAAAATATTCACATCGAAATGGAAGACGGTGCACAAAAAATTAAAAAGTTTTATATTAATTTGTTTATTAAATCATAAATATTTAAACCAAATTATGAAAAATATGCCTGGACAACAAAAAAAGCTGCATGAAAACGTTATCTTACAAATTAAAGCGCTATTTTTTTAGTCTCGAAAAATTCTTAAAATACGGCTTTTTGCACTTTTTTCTACATCTTCAATGAATTCCAGGCCTAAAATATGCCTACCCATTTTTGATTTTTTATTTTTTTCTCAAACTTACAATATAAACTTAAACACCAGATATTTTTGTTACCTCCTATTTCGCTGGTAACAAAATTTACAGGGTGACAGTGAGCTCAGAATACGAAATGGTAACAAAAGTTACTGTATGGTAAATTTTAATACCAAAATAAATTTTTTTTTCCTCGAAAGAATAGGCCTGTAAGAGGCACGAAAGTTAGTAATGTTTTGAGTGTTCGCCGACTTTTTACTGCCGAATAAAATAGTTCAAAGGATTTTCATCAATATTATTGGATGAGTGCATAAGTTCGTGCCCGATTTCAAGTGCAAACTAAAATTGAAATTTTTTGAAGAAAGCGCTTTTATTAATCAATTATGTATTCGCCATCATGTTCGGCAATCCACTCCCAACGTTCAACC